TAGGTGTACGTGGTTGGCGCCTCAGCCGGCCGAGCTATAGGCGCCGAGCCTTCATCTTTTTTAAAAATTTCAGATTAATGTGAGGGTGCAAACAATTAGGTTACAATGTTTGCATTTATTAGGGAAAGTCCCTGTTGTAATTGTGTCCCACACCCAGGAGGTGTGCCGTATACCCTTACACTGTGCCCATTAGGTGGGACCCCACCATTCTCCCACTCTCTTACCCTTTTCTCCCTTTCCCCTCCCCCCTTCACTAACTTGATATGAATTGAGTTTTTCTCTTGTGTGGGTATTAGTTATCTACTGGCTTAATATTAGTATTGAGTACATTGGATTCTTGCTTCTCCAATCTTGTGAACTTTACTAAAAAGAATGTGTTTTAACTCCATCCAAGTTAATACAAAAGATGTAAAGTCTCCATCTCTTTTAATGGCTGAATAGTAGTCCATGGTATACATAAGTCACAGCTTGTTAATCCATTCCTAGGTTGGTGGGCATTTAGGTTGTTTCCATATCTTGGTGATTATAAATTGAGCTGTGGTAAATAATCTAGTGCAAATGTCCTTATGATAAAATGATTTTTTTTCTTCCGGGTAGATGCCTAGTAATGAGATTGCAGGATCAAATGGAAGGTCTATTTTGACTTCTTTGAGGATTCTCCATACTTCTTTTCAAAGAAGTCGTACTAGTCTGCAGTCCCACCAGCAGTGTTTCCTTCTCTTCACATCTGCAGCTTTGGGACTTTGTGATTATTTTTGCCTTTAATAGTTTGTTATAGATGATATTAAAATAATCCTCATCAGTAATAATAATGCAGTAAAGCATGTCAAGTATCAAAAACCAGAAAGTTGATACTTAATTATATGCAACAAAATTCTCAGTCTTTCTTTCTCTTTACAGATGAAGTTAAAAAGAAGCTCAGTTCGGCTGTCAGACAAAAAGCTTTGCCAGATGTGCCAAAATCCCTTTTGTGAGCCTGTGTTTGTTAGATATCCGAATGGTGGTCTCGTGCACACGCACTGTGCTGCCAGCAGACACACGAACCCCAGCTCACCCAGCCCTGGCGCCCGGACTTGAAAAAAAGCGTGGCCTGAGGGCACAAGGGGAACTCCAAGTCCTTTACCAAGCCTGCTGGATGTAAAGAAAGAGCAGACAGGCAGGCCCTCTGTGTCCACCAGGACGAAGGGAATACATCTGGGTGCCTTTGTCCATGTGAAACAAGGACTCTTCACTTCTGACTACTCTCTGTGAATGTACATGGAAAATCCCTGAAAATCCCCAAAATAGAGACATGCAAGAGTCCACCTGTCCAGGAACATAGTTAGTGATCCAAAACAAAGATCTACTTTGAAAGAAAGTGAGTCTTCCCTGTGTAATCCAGACACAGATGAGGGGTTTATGCCACCCCACCCCCTCCAGTTTTAGACACACATCCTCTTCAGTGCGGCATGAAGTGAAGCCCTCTCTTGCCTGGGCAAGTGGCCAGAGCACAGGGACCTGTGGTGGGCAGCCTTGTGTTCCGACGGAGGTGCATTCTCTATCCACAAGGTGGTTCTTTTTCCCAGGGTAACCTAGGGACCCTGCCTTTGCCCTTAGAAACAGCTGATCCTGGGGAAGGATCACGTTCCTTTCTTCCCATCTGGTTCTCACTCCCCAAAAGATTTTGCCTTGTTTACCCAAGCACTCACTGTAGGGTGAATTCATATGCTTCTGGCTGCCTAGCAAGTGAAGATCTGTTTAGAGACTGAGAAAGCCAACCTTAAAGAAGGTGGCAGAAAGGAGAATCTCATGGTGAGTGAGGGCCCAGGTATGTGTTTCTTTCCTCCCCGTTATCTGCTGATCTGAAACTCCCTGATCAACATGTTTGTCTAAACATTTTTATTTACATTTGTCTGATCATTGTAGTTTTTCTATTGTTGAGAAAAATTCATCTGTCCTATTCATTAGGGATGAAAATATTCTCTCATTAGAATGTACCTCCTAATGAATACTTGGGAAATTAAAAGGGAAATGTGATGAGCACAAACTGAGCGTTCAGTCTAGGAGAGGCCGGCTTTCCCCTGGCACTTTAGGAGGGCAGGCCCTGGGTGTCCTGGCGGGTACATCTGCCCTGCACACCCTCACGAGGATGTCCGGTCAGGCTGCTTTACCCCCCAGCACTTTAAGTGCCTGCTCTGAGGTTTCCTGAACCTGCAGAAAATGCCTCTCATCCTAACAGTCTGGGGATTCCCTTTGTGCTTCTGTGTAAAGTCATACGAACAAGCTGGAGTTGTTGTCACTTCACCGCCCTCTTTTGAATTTCTTCATTGTGGTTATTGATTCTCTCTAGGAATTAACAGTAAAGACAGTGCACCCCCTACCATAATGCTTGGAAGACAGGTGTTAGTTTGTACACATGACAGGAGAGGACCCTGGAACACCCCCTGTCTGTGTCAGCCCAAAATGGGATAAGGAGCTAGCTCATTCTCTGTCCTTTAAAAAAATCTTTCCTGTACTAATAATGGTCAGTGTATTTTTTTTTTCCATCTTGTGATTCCAGTTGAGCCAAGAAACAAAAGCATCCATGAGTTCTTTGGTGGTGGGGGGAGGAAATTAGCACCATTTTTTCCTAACTATGTTTCTATTATCTAAAGAATAAATGATGAAGACATTCTCCTTATAACTCACATGTATGCTGTATCAATTGGTATGCACTCAAAGCCTGGTCGTGAGTTTTATCCTGTGGATGACTCTTACAGAATGGTCATATTATTGTGTAAATTATCAATACAACTTGTGAATTCGAGTTTATATTTCTCAAAGAATGAGTTACCCATGTTTGCGGTGTTGCACTCTTAAAAAGCACTGTTTTCTCTGTACACAAAATGGGTGAAGTCTTGAAAAAGCTCTGTGATTGCTCATTCCTGACTTGGGGACCCTCGTCTCTTTTTCCTCTGAACGTTGATCAATATTTTGGAACATCTGTCATCCTTTAGAATAGTGGAGATTAAAGCCAAGCAGTTTTCCATCTCTATCGAATCTTTTAGCACAAGCAGAATTCTATGACAATATGCAGAATTATCTGGTATATTAAAAAACCATACCTTTCTCTAACCTTTCACTCCTACAAACCCTTTTCTCAAATCATATTTTTAAGAGAAATATATGGTTATTTCTAACAGGCCTGCTGATTTGTGACTGTGCCGTTGAATAGAGCAATTAGAACCATCACTCAGACCTTTCCCCCCTCATTAGGTTCAGTGTAACCATTCTAGTTAAAACAGCATGAACTGAATTCAGTTTACATTAACCTTCCATGGGCAGTACCATTTGGTTTTATGAACTGTTTATCTGCTGTTGCCTATCAAGGATTAATGTAGGAGTGTCCTGTGCACCGGGGTGCCTGGCTCCTGCTGCGGGTCTTGCTAAATATGCTCACTCACCTCGGGATTGTGGGAGCCATGGCCTGGCACCGCTCAGTGGACGCCTGTTAAGACACCTTGAGTGGCTCTTGCTTTTTGCTTTCTCTCCCATAGAAACCTTTGTCCTTGCAACTTTATCCTTCGCTCCAATTGGGTCCCAAATACACAAGATGTACAAATGTAAACTTGTTGATTTTATTAAAATTCTTTTAGTTATTTGTTCTTTCTGTAATTTTTTTTTTTTTTCAAATAAAACCCATCTTGATGGAGTGCAGGTTTCCACTCAACACCATACCTAGTCTAGGGCATCCTAGAATCCGCACCTCCTGGCTCTTTGCAACACCTGTCCCTTAAAGTCTATTTGTTACTGCACCGAATTTTAACCTATCTGCTTCTGAACCTGTCTCCTGCGTATGGTTAGGGCGATCCTTGACATTTGCTGCCTTCAGATGAATCACGCACTGAAGGATTGAACCAGGGAGGTTTCTGATTACTTCTTAACATACTTCACTTTTTAGCCAAATGCCCTTAAATAAGCCTGCTGCTCTTGGATTTCTAACCCTGAACATATGCAAGGAATATGACTCTCTTTTCTTTTTTAAAGATTTTAAATTTTGCTTCATCTCCTAAGACACAGTTTAGATCAGGTCTCTGAGCCCTCCTGTTAGATTTCACAGCACTTTCTCCTGGTCTTTCCTTCCTGGTTTGTAGAGTTCTGCCCCCAAGGAAAGGGCAGTGTCTACATAGGTGATGTCCCCTGACTACTCCAGCCAGCCTTACTCAACATTCCAACTGTGTGTGAGTAGAGGTCAAGCATCCTGACGCATCTGCATTTCAAACGGAAGAAACAGAGGCACAATTGTTTGGGGTGATTTTTTTTTTCTCTTTGAGACAGAGTCTCACTTTGTCACACTAGGTAGAGTGGCCTGGCATCATCATAGCTCACAGCAATCTCAGACTCTTGAGCTTAAGCCATCCTCTTGTCTCAGCCTTCCAAGTAGCTGGGAATATAGGTGTGCACCACCACGTCCAGCTAATTCTTCTATTTTTAGTAGAGATGTGTTCTCACTTTTGCTCAGGCTGGTCTCAAACTTGTGCTCAGGTGACCTACCTGCCTCAGCCTTCCAGAGTGCTGGAATAACAGGCATGAGCCACTACGCCTGGCCTCGGGTGGTACTTTTTTAGAGTCTGAGTGGGCAACAAGCCAGGGCTGTATTTCCCACCTGCAGATCCTCCCACGTAGTACTTCACACACCCTAAGTGAGGTAACCAGAAACCAGCTTGAAGCTGACTATTTCAAACAATCAAGCATTGGAGCTCAGCGCCTGTGGCTCAAGTGCCTAACGTGCCAGCCACATACACCTAAGGTGGTGGGTTTGAATCCAGCCTGGGCCTGCCAAACAACGATGATGGCTGCAACCAAAAAATAGCCGGACATTGTGGTGAGCGCCTGTGGTCCCAACTGCTTGGGAGGCTGAGGCAGGAGACTTGCTTGACCCCAGGAGTTGGAGGTTGCTGTGAGCTGTGATGCTACAGCACTCTACCCAGGGGGACAGCTTGAGGCTCTGTCTCAAAAAATAAAAAAATAAATCAAGCATTGGATTGGCAACTGTAAAATTGTTTTCTCATTTTTACATCATTGGTATCTGGAGGTCCATTAGCATATTAGAAAACAAGGAAGTGGGAGAGGTCCATTTAGATCAGTGGTTCTCAACCTTCCTAATGCTGTGGCCCTTTAGTATAGTCCCTATGGGTCACGACCCACAGGCCGAGAACCACTGATTTAGATGGATACAGCTGACTGGACGGAAGCAGTGTGGAAGCACCGGACTGAATTGTGAGACTAGCCCAGAGGCAGGGTACAAGGCCTGGGAGTGGGAAGAGAGTGTAAATTGGTGTTCTAAATGTGTCTGCTGGTGGAGGCAGAGACCGGCATATGACTCAGTTAAATGGACTGTGACTTGTGTTAGGAGTAATTAGATATTAACTAACACCCCATTTGCTCTCAGAAGATCTGTCAACCTTAGCGTTTGAAATGAAAATGTATAAGAATCTAGACCATATGGACTAGAGGCCCTTTCACCTTCTCAAAAAAGCTAAATAGCTAGAGCAATGTCCAAAGGCTTGTTAACAGTTGTTGGGAGATAAGTGCTTGAATTAATGAAGCCTGCTTTTCCTTAGCTTGCAACCAGGGAAGGGAAACAAACAGCCGTAATTCAGCCTGCAGTCCAGAGTCGTAAATTAGTTAAATGAGGTCACGTGGGAAGAAAGGATTAGCAACACACACAACTCAATAGCCAAGTGTGAATTGAGAAGTCACATCACACTTCTCAGTGTGGGGGGCATGGGGAAGCCTGGGTCTCCCTGGGTCAGGATGCACCCCCCCTGTGGTCCTGGACAAGTCATGTCACCCAGACCTTGGCACCCTCGCCCATAAACAGGTAGAGCTGGGTAGTGTCTGAGGTTCCTTCTGGGGTTAACTTGTTCCAAGCAAGAGAAATGAGGGTGAAGGATTAGGTATAGTCTCAGCCTGTGATATCTGCCCCATAGGACTGGGCTCTCCCAGGTGGCCCCATCAGTCCCACCCCGCTCAGGCACTGTCTCTTGGATGCGTCTTGTGGGTGTGTTGAGCACTTTCAGGATCTCATGGTGGTTCTGTGATTGGAAAAATGACTTGCTAACCTAACCCCCACTGGATCAGGCTCGCCTGGGGCATGAGCTAAGATGACGCACTGTACTTCACACTGACTCACCTGGCCCCGCCGCTGTGACGTACCTGGCTTAGCCGTGTGCACAATGATGGAATTGAGGTGGTCAGTCTGCCCACACTCCCTCCCCACCTGTTCTGCAGCCAGCTCATCACAGTAAAACCCCACAATCTATTTCTAAGTTGTTTTTCAGAACATTTGGGGACCTATGGACAATTATTGACTGGAGCTCCTAAGTAAATATAACTGAAATCCTAAACATTTGCTTTCTTAAGAATTAGAGCACAAGAATGTATTTCCCTGAGACCAAATAATGCATACTTTAAAGAGATTCGATTTCTCTTATTTCAGCCAATTTACAAGAATGTATTCACTCTATGAGTAAACGTAGTTAGAAACTCGATTTTATGTCCGGGGGAGGGGGGAAGGCAGGTTATCATATATTACTGACATGGCTGTATTTAAGTACATTTTCCACATATGTTTTCTTGACATTTTATTGTGGTAAGATATATATATGTATACATATATAACATAAAATTTACAGTTTTAGCCATTTTTTAAGTGTATAGTTCTGTGGCATAAATATATTGACACAGTGGTGCAAACATCAGCACCATCCATCTTTTGAAATCCTCCCAAACAGAAACTCTGTGTCTATTTACCAATAACTTCTCATTGTCCCCTCCCCCAGCCCCTGGCACCCATCATTCTCCTTCGTGTCTCGATGAATTGACTATTCTAGGTAGCTCACAGACGTGAAGTCACTTCAGTATTTGTCCTTTTGTGACCGTCTTGTTCATTTGGCACACTATCTCCAACCTTCTCTCATGTTGTAGCAGGTTCCAGAATTCCCTTCCTTTCTGATGCTGAATAATATTCCATTTCATGGTTTTTAAATAGTGTTTTAGTTACCAAAAGGGTGCACATAGACCACCTGCATTATATTTTACATAGAAGTAGAATTGCTACTTTACATATTCATGTCAATGTAGGAAATAGAACCCTGTGTCAGCCCATCTAAAAGTCAACCATTTATTATCTTAATCCCATTTATTGGGCTAAGCCCATGAATGTAGGCCCTTGAAAATGAATTCAAAATCAGCACACAGTCTTTGTCAATAAGGAGTGGCTCAGAGATTTCCCCATCCGTGATGTGACATGTTTGCCTGCAAAGATCTGCATAAAGCTGACTCAGAAACAAGGGCCAGACTAAAAGTGACCAGTGTCAGGACAGCTGCCTTGTGGGTCAGAGCAGGTGACACAGTAGGTAGGGGTGTGTGCGTCATTGGCAGGTCTCCTACTAAAAGTTTGCGCGATTTCATCATTGTTTTCTAGCCTCCTTTATATAAAGCTCTATTACATTTTAGGAAGGGAAGAAGGGGTGCCCGGTCCCAGATCCCTAGTCATGCCCCTCCTTGGACAGTTGCTCAGGCTATTATGGCCCCAATATCTGTTTTCGAGTAGGTCACCACTACATGACACCTAGGAGTGAACAGCCTGCTGTAGCTGACCACAGGATAGGAAGGGGGCATTTTGCCCTTGCTCTCCTGGGAC